TACAAGTTCATTTGAGTAGCTTCTCTGTCATGTCAAGAAGACACTGTATAGAATATATTTTGATATATTCTATCCTCCATCCTCTCTAGGCCTCCAGCCATCCCTGCTGGTCTGATTCTTTCTATTCTAGAGAGCACTCTTTCTACTGTAGAACAGCCCTCTCTGTCTCTGTCTCTGTCTCTGTCTCTCTCTCTCTCTCTGCATGTGTGTGTGTGTGTGTGTGTGTGTCTGTCTGTCTGTCTGTCTGTCTGTCTATCTGTGTGTCTGCCTTTTTCATGACCCAAAGAGTTTCATTAGGATTTCTTATAAGAGTGTAAGTAAAAATTTATTTACACGACTATGGGTAACTTCACAGTGATTACACCACTAAAGAAAATATTTTACCCTTTCCTATTTGTAGTAAGGGGCTGTGGGCAGGCCTGCTTTTTGTCCCGCCCAGCTCCCGCATGGCTAGCTTAGCCCTGTAAATAACAACACACAAATTGTATTTATTTAAATACTGTCTGGCCCATTATCTCTAGAGAGTTAGTTACTGGCTAACTCTCACATCTTGATTAACCCATTTTTAATAATCTGTATAGCACCACAAGGTGGTGGCTTACCAGAAAGATTCAGCATGTCTAACCTGGTGGCTGGCTCCATGGCGTTTGCCCCATTGCCCTCTTCCCAGCATTCTGTTCTGTTTACTCCGCCTACCTAATTTTCTGTCCTATCAAGGGGCCAAGGCAGTCTCTTTATTGACCAATGAAAATAACACAATAGACAGATAACCCTCCTCCATCACCTATTAGTCATTAATTGCATATAAGTCTTTAAGTAGGGTTGGGGCCCCATTTTCCTCTCTTCAGTTTATGACACAATAGTGATGAGGCCTAATTTTTGTAGATTCTGTGAAGATAATCACCACTGCTGTGAACTCAAGAAAGCAAAGCATGCTGTGCTTAGAAATCAATGTCCTGTAGAATCTCCATCTTTCTTCAGCTCCTTGACTTTTTCTACCCTATCTGAGCCTTGGAGGGCATAGTACAGGTGTTTCATGTATGATTGAGCCATGAATAGTCACTTATACTAGGTGTTTTGCTGAATTCATCAAAGTACCATCAACTAATTTTCTTTTAATAGTCAACAGTATTTCTTGTTTTGTGTGTTGTTTATACATAATGAAACATTGGTAAATTAGATAGCTCATCTTGAAAAAAATGGGTGGATTCTTTTCTATATATATTATGATGCCTTTAGCAAACTGGGACCTCTTTGTTTTGAATTGTGGTATCCTTTTGTTTTCTTTTGTCTGACTACTGTGGCTAGAATTTCTATCAATATGTTGCATAAAATTTATGAAGCTAGGTTTATTGGGTCTTGTCTATAATTTTGGAATTCCAGAATTTGAAACAGGATGATTTCCATGAGTTTCATACCAGCTTGGGATTAAAAGTGAGATCCTGCATATAGACCTTATTGATGACTAATGAAGGTATTACACACTTTGGATACAGCAATTGGAGGAATTAAGGCGAATCTGACCTGGAAACCTTCTCCCCGAGGACTAGATTGCATAGTATATAATAAGGTGCTATGTAGGTTGACAGGGAGAAAAGCAATTAAAAGTCCTACAGCCCAGCTGTGACGCCTATGAACCCCAACAATGATTAGCAAGGTAAGGCATCCCTAAAGGTGCAGGAGTGGCACTTACCTCTTGGTAGTATCCAACAGTTGTCTAATTAACCCACTCCAGGAGGAAAATCCTCCTTGGTACTGGCAACCTAGACAACTACCCATCGCTAATGAGGTCATGGATCTTAGGAGTGAATCTACTACTCCTTTTAGCTAAATCATTATAATTCTTTACTGCATTCTAATCACTTTTATACCCACAAATAACTGGCTCTCACCTCTCATCAAAGAAGTTTCTTTTCACAGCAATGAGAGTTCATTAAAATAAAGCCCAAACCAATCAAAATACAGAGAACAGCAGGCTATAGAACCAACCTCCAAGTGATACATTTGCAACTCAACCCCCACACCTAAGACTCAGGGAAGAGAAAGCTTCCAGAATTTTGTTAGAAGTCAGAGGACCAGGATGTCTGCTGAAAGATTTTATCTTCTGCACACTGAAAAGGAAGCTAAGACCATGAAATGTCAACAGTACAGCTTTCCAAACAAGACCTATACAATGACATCAGTTGGCACACTAGTGCAAATGGTTGAATTTTCATGGAGAATAAGTAGTATCCAATATGTATGTCACAGATTTTGCTGACCAGCATGTCCATTATTGCTTTCTACTATTTTTTTATTCCTGTCATTTTTTTAAAACTCTGAATTATTCAGAGAGTTTTACTAAAGCCCAAGACTATTAGATTTGACTTAATAACTAAGCCCTAACTTCATTTTATTGTGATCAGAAAATATTTTCTGAAGATATGATCCTTAAAATCTCAAGTAAGGGCCAGCATGATGACCTGTGCCTTTCATCACAGCACTGGAGAGGCAGAGGTACCCCGATCTCTGTGGATTCAAGATCAGCTTAGTCTACATAGTGAGTGCTAGGGAAGGCAGGTCTGCATAATGAAACCTTTCTCAAAACAAGCAAACACAAGTAAATCTGAGATCTACTCAAATGTGTTTTCTCCTCTGAGCACCATATATATATATATACACACACACACACACACACACACACACACACACACACACACACACACACATATATATATATATATATATATATATATATATATATATATATATATATGTGCTCTCGGTCAGTCTGTACAGTCTGTCTGTCTGATCCCAGATCTGTTATTCTTTTCCTATGTTTCCTTTAGTAAAAAACAAGATTTGAGAGTTTCTGTGAAGCTTCCTCAATAAAAATATAATATGATTTGTTTTAGCTATTTAACTATATAGCTAAATATATTATTTATATTCTGGTTTGCTCCATGTACTAAAATTATTCCATTTAACTGTATACTACTTAAAATATTAACATATTTATAGTAACTTGAACTTATTTTTACCTTTTCCATAAAAATAGTACCTGTCTGATCTATTTTGCTTGGTATGGTTTGCTTTGTATTTCTCCTAGTAATTTCTATTTCATTCTTTATCTCCAACATTCCTATGATCTGTTGTTGTGCCTCTTTGTGTTTTCTTTGATTCAGTGAAGCTAGTCTCTCCTTAAGATGATAACCACTGTAGATTTCTCTGATTTTATTTTGTCTTAAGTTTCATTACAGAAATTGTGCTCCTGTAGTGCGCGAAGTAGTTTAGCTCCTCACTACACTAAAATTTTTACAATTGCTCTTTGCTGGTTTTTTCAGCACTGTAGTAGTAGTAGTAGTAGTAATTATAATTATAATAATAACAACAATAATAATAAATTCTAAAAAGAATAACTATGGGAGTGAGGCCAGGCACATGCACCATGGTATGCATTATGTAGTCAGAGGACAACTTGTAGAAGTCTGTTCCCTCCTTCCATCATGTGAGTTCTGACAATCAAACTCAGGTCTGCGGGCCCGGCAGCAAGTCTCTTTACCCAGGGAGTCATCTTACCAACACCCTCAAACCTAGAGCCTTCAGTTGTATTTTTGGACTGGAGATTTTTTTTCTAATTTTGTTCAAGTCTAGTTTATAATTTTCCTTTAATTTTTATTGTTTTCTAAGTCACAACAAAAAAGTATCTATAACAATGTTGAAAAATATTCTATGCTTTGTTCTGGGACTCTTATGACTTTAATTTGCATATGCAAATATAAACTGCAAGTTAGTCTGTCTTGATGGACAGCAAAGAAGTGGAGTTTCTGTCTCATCTACTTCTGTCTTATCATTTTTTTTCTCATCTACTCATCAAATTTTCCTTGTGAATTCCCAGGGCCTGGGCTCTAGTCCACCCTGCAGAAACCAAAATCAGTACATGCTCAGTTCCTTATAAAAAAAAGCATTTGTATATAGCCTACATACTCCTAAGATACCTATGGATTACTTGTAATGACTAATAAAAGTCATACAAATGCTGATCATACTTCATTATTTAGGAAGTTATAAGAAAAATTGAACATGCTCAGTAAAAAGCAGTCATTAAAGATTAGCTTCATCTTTGATTATCAGTTGATTGAATCTGTCAATGCAGAATCCATAGAAGTAGAGACCTAGGTATCAATTTTGACTTTTCATTAAAATGTATGTCCCTGTAATGTTTAATATGACTATTAATCTGCTGGTGGGAATGCAAATTTATGCAGTCACTTTGGAAACCAATATGGTGGCTTTTCAGAAAATTGAGATTCAATCTACCTCGGGACCCAGCAATACCACTCTTGGGTATATACACAAAGGATATTTAATCATATTACAAGAACATGTCAATAATGTCCACAGCAGCATCATTCATAATAGCCAGAACCTGGAAAAACCTAGATGCCCCTCAACCAAAGAATGGATAAAGAAAATGTGGTACATTTAGACAGTGGAGTTTTACTCAACTGTAAAAACACAATGACATAATGACATCTTGAAATTTGCAGGCAAATGGATGGAACTAGAAAATCCACCCAGATTGAGTAAACCCAGACTGAGAAAGACAAACACTGTATATCTAAATGGATATTAGATGTAAAGGAAGGGATAACCAGGCTACAATCCTCAGTTCCAGAGAGACTAGGAAACAAGGAGGACCCTTAAAGGGACACATGAATCACCTTGGGAAGGGGAATAAGATATCCTGAGTAAATTTGGGGCAGGGGAGTGATGAAGAGAAGGGGGATGGGAACATGAGGAAAGACGATGGTCAAGGTGGGGAGGGATGGAGTTTGAGAGCAATAAAATAGATATCTTGATAGAGAGAGCCACTAGGGGTTAGGGAGAAACCTGATGCTAGGGAAACTCCCGGGAATCCAAAAGGATGACCTAAGCTAAGCTCCTAGCAATAGTGGAGACAGTGCCTGAACTGGCCTTCCCCTGTAATCAGATTGGTGAATACTCCACCTGTCATCATAGAGCCTTCATCCAAAAACTGATGGAACCAGATATAGAGATCCACAACCAAGCACCAGATGGAGCTCTGGGAATCCAGTCGAAGAGAGGGAGAATGGAATATATAAGCAAGAGCGGTCAAGATCACAGTGGAGAAATCTACAGAGAAAACTGAGCCAAGCTCATGGAAAGTCATGAACTCTCTACCAACAGCTGTGGAGCCTCCATGAGACCCTCCACATATGGAAGACAGTGGGGAAGCTTGAATTATCAGTGGGAACCCTGGCAGTAGGACCAGAATCTATCCCTGGTACATGAGCTAGCTTGTTGGAGCCCATTCCCCATGGTGGGTTGTTATTTTTGCCTTAACGTAGAGGGGAGGGGTTTGTTCCTGCCTCAACTCAATGTACCAGATTTTGCTGACTCCCCATGGGGGAGTGAATGGGAGGTGGGCTGAGGTGGGGATGGGGGGAGGTGAGGTGGGAGGGAGGAGGAGGGATGGAAGAGACAGCTGTAGTTGGAATGTGAAATGAAATTTAAAAATTAAATTAATTTGAAAAAAGAAAATACCACTTTACCATTTCTTGAATAATTTCCCAAAGCATATTTACCAAAGAGTATCAGGGGAGAATGTTTGATGGAGTTTGAAACAGCATAAATATAGTTGTCCACATTTTATTCTACATAGAGAATTTTAATATCTTGTTAGTAGATAATTTTCCAAACTTCTTTCATCAAGGACCCTTTCAGATCATCCTAGAAAAGTCTGAGATAGAGACGAGGATGAAATCAAAGAGAACCATTTGAGAAACACTCACAGCTGCATCTCTTCCAGGTGAGCAATTACCTGACTCTGTCTTGTGGGCCACCTGAGAACAGCATTACACATCGGGTGTAAAACAGGAAGAGCTTGCAGAAATAAAGAGGCTTGGTGGAACATGTTTACAGCCAGGGCCTTGGTCGCTAGCACTGATGCATAGCAGGTCATAACTGAGTGTCAGAAACAGTTTATACAGCAGCTGCCTCCCAGGCGCTCTGGCTGTAAGTGGCATGTCTATTGTCACTTTCTTATTTTCCCTGTGCTTTCTATAAGGTGACAGGAGATAACTCTTACTTAGAAAACTGGGTATCTCGCCTCTCCCACCTGGAGTGTCTGAGATGTTAAGTCCATTATGCTCAATTCATGTGATGGATTTCAAAGTACTGTAGATATAACTATGGGATAGATCACTGTACTTTTTTTTAAGTTTCTTTCATTGTGTTTTTGAAATTATAATTAATAACAACAGTTCTCTTTTCCCTTCCTCTCTCCAAACCTTCCTATGTATTTATCCCGACTCTCCTTCAAATGCATGGCCATATTTTCATAATTGTTATCGTGTGCATATATACATATATATTTTTTCTAAATTTCATGCATATATATGTATGTATATAGATATATATTCATAAATATAAACTGTTTAAGTCATATAATGATCTCTGTATTGTGTTTTTAGAGCTGACCGATTGGCACTGGACAACCAGTTGGCGTGTTCTTCCCTAGAGAAGGCCACATCTCTTGTTCCCAGATTTCCTCAGTTGCCTGTAACCCCTTGTGTAGGCCTGAGGCCTCATGGACTTTTGTCTATCCAGTTCGGTATATTCATTGATGTCATAATTGTTTATCTTATACCTCTTCCTTGAGTACTAACTTTCATGGTACAAGAAGGCCCAATGCAAACTTCCAAAAGAGGGAAGCAACCAATAGTCCCATTCACTTATGATACCTATGAGCCACACCAATGACCAGCATGGCACAATAGCACACTAATTGAATTTAAAACCTGTTCAAGAAGAGGGTCACTATGCCTTGTATTGGGAATCTATCTACTCAGTGCTATTGAAGTCATGGTTATTGAGGAAAATCCACAACCACTATTTTACTAAACCAATACAACCAGTACAACAATCTGTAAGTATTTGTCCTTATGCTGATAAGTGTAGTCTTCACAGTTTCTCAAGGAATCTTCTGTTTGTAGCAGAGACCACTGCAGAAATCTATAACCAATCAACAGACAGAGTTGTGAAGCCCAGTCCCAGTGGGTACATCTACAAACAATTTCAGTGCCTAAAGCTTGGGGAACATTGTGGAAGGACAGAAAGACTGTAAAAGCCAGAGGGTCAGTGAGTTAGAGACTGTCTCCTAGTAATGTCAGAATCTACACCTGTAGGTCCCATCACTCCACCTGTACACGGAGGTCTGAAGCTCCGGATGGGAAAGGTTGAAATGTGGCCAGGAGGGCACAAAAGCAAGTGCTGTAGATGTTCTTACAGATTAACTAACTCAGTTAACTGTGCACCCTTTTTAGGTGCTCTGGGCCTTGGAAAATAGGAGGGGTATTTCTTCTAGGTGTTCATTTGAGTTAGGCCAGTAGCATACAGCAGAAGAGAAATGTATCAATATTTATTGCTTGCTGAAATATATTTATGTGTCATTATCAGACTTAAGGATGAAAGTTGTTTCTCAGAGGTTGCATTATAGATAACTTGAGCGACTGTCTATCTTCTTTTGGCTAGTTTTGACTTTTGTCATGAAGCCCAATGTCTAAAATGGGAATTGACAGAAATACAAAACACTGACCTATCACAGGACACAAATCTCTTTGTACCTCTGTTTCCATCTGTCTGTCCCTATCTCTCTACTGTCCCCCCAACAATTTTATCTATCAAAAATGTTGTATTGGGGCAATCAGATCCACTTTCTAAAGTTTATGACTCAGAAAAAATACTCTCTTATTAAGCTGAACCAAATTGAATAAGTTTCTGTTACAATTGCATACAGTAAAAGTAAATAATAAAATGTGCATTTGATCATATTGGGTTCCTTCCCCAGCCTTAATATAGGGGAGGTGCTTAGCCTTCCTGCAACTTGATATGTTATATTTTTGTTCATATCCATGGAAGGCTTGTACTTTTTGAAATAAAAATGGAGGAAGAGAGAGTGGTTGGGGGAGGGAAAGTGTGGGGAGCACTGGGAGGAAAGAAAAGAGGGGAAACTGCTGTCAGGATGTAAAATAAATACATTTAAAAAATATACAATTGAAGTGCATGTGAAAATAGAATTTTGGATCAAATTTATTTTATTTAAAGATGAGTTTTTCCTAATCTCATAACCATAAATATATAGAAATAGATAAAGCAATAAATACAGTTGATAGAGATATGGTTGTGAATCACTATATTCAATAAGGCAAGATTAAACCAACCACAATTTAATGACTATCAATACTAATGCTTAACAATGTATTTGAGGGTATACTATATATAGCTTATAAAGAAGTTTAACTTACGATTTTAGAAAAGTTTACAATGGTTTATAGAAGTTGTGCTTTGGTTTATTAGGAATGAAGATAAAAAGAGACAGGATAACATGTGAATTATCTTTCAAAAATAGAGCTAGTTGAACTAAATGAAAATTAATGTTTTATGTTACAGGATAGGATATTGTTGCATCTTTGGGTCTCAAACTGGGCTGCAAATTCATTCAAAACTCCCTGGATGGATGGATAGATAGATAGATAGATAGATAGATAGATAGATAGATAGATAGAT